CTATACTATGACTTTTTTTCATGATTTTGGATGACATACTATACTATGATGTTTTTTCATCATTTCGGACGACATGCTATACTATGACTTTTTTTCATCATTTTGGACGACATGCTATACTATGACGTTTTTTTTTCATCATTTTGGACGACATACTATACTATGACTTTTTTTTTCATGATTTTGGACGACATACTATACTATGACTTTTTTCATGGTTTTAGAAGACATGGTATACTATGACGGTTTTTTTTCATCATTTTGGACGACATACTATACTATGACTTTTTTTTTCATGATTTTGGACGACATACTATACTATGACTTTTTTTTTCCTAATTTTGGACGACATGCTATACTATGACTTTTTTCATGGTTCTGGAAGACATGCTATACTATGACTTTTTTCATCATTTTGGACGACATACTATACTATGACTTTTTTCATGGTTTTGGACGACATGCTATACTATGACTTTTTTCATGGTTTTGGTCGACATGCTATACTATGACTTTTTTCATGGTTTTTGAAGACATGCTATACTATGACTTTTTTTCATCATTTTGGACGACATACTATACTGTGACTTTTTTCATGGTTTTGGACGACATACTATACTATGACGTTTTTTTTCATCATTTTGGACGACATACTATACTATAACTTTTTTCGTGATTTTGGACGGCATACTATACTATGACTTTTTTCATGGTTTTGGAAGACATGCTATACTATGACTTTTTTTCATGATTTTAGACGACATACTATACTATGACTTTTTTTCATGATTTTAGACGACATACTATACTATGACGTTTTTTCATGGTTTTGGACGACATACTATACTATGACATTTTTTTTCATCATTTTGGACGACATACTATACTATAACTTTTTTCATGATTTTGGACGACATGCTATACTATGACTTTTCTTCATGATTTTAGACGACATACTCTACTATGACTTTTTTTCATGATTTTAGACGACATACTATACTATGACGTTTTTTCATGGTTTTGGACGACATGCTATACTATGACGTTTTTCATGATTTTGGACGACATGCTATACTATAACTGTCGTGATTTTGGACGACATACTATGGCATTTTCATGACATCACTATGACATACTATTCTATCACTGTTTTGCAAACACTAAAAAAACAGTGACATAAGTAATAATATGACATACATACTTGACTTTTTTATGAAATTCAGCATACATACTGCACTATGGCTTTGTCATCACACAAGTCACAATATAGTATGCATCATATGGCATGCCATAGTTTGAATTTTTTGGTACAGTATACTGTGAAATACATTATTTGAAAATCCAACATTGTTCATGAGTTTTTAGTTACATAATTTTAATTCTGCACAACACTGTTCATTTTCTGGAAAGTTGAGGTGATAATTAATATCAAAATCAGTGGTACTGCACCATAATCAGTTTTTGCACAATTCAGTGTTTTAATGGGACTCAAGTTAAATGAACAAAATACTCTAACATGGATAGTAACCTGCAGCATGTAACTAAATTGAGTTGCTTCATTTGAAGTCTTAAAATTAATAAAATTGACATTAATGCACAAGTGTTAATCAACACAAATAAACAGTTTATTACCAAATGCATTGTAGCACTCCCATTTCACAGAAAATGCCACATAGGTTAAACTTTAAGTTTCCCTTTATTTGCAAAATACTTAAACAATATACTGTAAAACATTATACCATTTAAGACTATAATTTCTGGAGTAAAAGTATTTTCCCTGTAGATATACGGTACGAATACTCAGTGTCATGTTTCAGAGCATAACAGACAAAAACATGTAAACATGAATCTTAATAAATTATTAAATTGCAAAATGGAAGCTCATGTTTGTTTGTTTTTGTTGTTGTTTTTGCAAAAGCAAAGTTACGATCTGGTAGGCAAAGACAATCGATGCGGCTTACATCCAACAGTCTCAGTTTAGTGTGTTTGAATCCTGAGAGGTCACTGAGCGACGGCAGTTCTGTGTACAAAGTTGGACTGTGACGTAAAGGCCAACCATCTAATTCTTCACTGACACCTCGATTTGTAAAAGTTGTCTGTGAGAGCCCAAGGGTTCAACCGTCAGTAGCCAGGATCAGCACAGCGCCAAAGATGCCCACGTTATGTCCTATCAACTTCATCTGGTTCCAGAACTCCACCTTGCGAGTGTGGTGCCAGTAGCCAAGGTTGCCGTCAATGAGCAGAATAACCAGAGGCAGGACGGTGGCTAGGATCTGAGCGGCTATGCGGATGTAGCAGCCAGACAGGAAGGCCAGAGCCAGCACCCCAAACAGCACCTCGAGCAGTATTAGAGTGATTTCTCCTCCAGTGATGTGGTTCAGATAGGCTTGCTGGTCCTCTTTGCTGTGCTGGAGGGAGTACACCTAGTGGGGGAAAGTGATACTGTGTTAATAGAATGACGCTGGAGACAGGCTTTGGTTTGTATTCTGTTTGATGACTAATGTATTTTAAGAAATTGTGTGAGTATTTTTAAATATGCCATAGTACAGTATGACATTAAAAAAAAGACTCCCAGTATAGTATGACAAAATTGTCATCATGTCATATTATGCTGAGACAAGTCATAGTATAGCATGTTGAAAATGTCATAATAAAGTATGCCAAAAAACTTCATAGTATAGCATGTCGTCCGAAATCATGAAAAAACGTCATAGTATAGCATGTCGTCCAAAATGATAGAAAAAACGTCATAGTATAGTATGTCGTCCAAAATCATGAAAAAAAGTCATAGTATAGTATGTCGTCCAAAATCATGAAAAAAAGTCATAGTATAGTATGTCGTCCAAAATCATAATGACAGAAAAAACGTCATAGTCATGAAAAAAGTCATAGTATAGTATGTCGTCCAAAATGATGAAAAAAAAAATCATAGTATAGCATGTCGTCCGAAATCATGAAAAAACGTCATAGTATAGTATGTCGTCC